GGGGGGTCCTGAGGATGGAGTGGGATCTGTGGGTACAAACTACAGAGACTTGGACGAACTTCCCTTGCCTCTTGGGGTATTCGTTTTTTTGTCTCTAGAGAGGTCTAGGGAGTTCTCAATGACCCCAATACCAAATGACATTGAGATGCGATAGTTAACAATCGTGTCCTCAGTATCCTGACTCAGAAGGGAAATTCCTTATCACGGGTCTTGGGAGAGGGGAGGCCTCAGTGTAAGGGATCAAGGTGACCAGGCACTCTGTTTGTGGGGCTCATTTGTTTTTGGTCTTTCTTAGTTTCTAATAAAAGAAATAAAGAATAAAAATTTCCCTCTGAGTTGCTCTTTGCCCACGACACATAGATATGTTGATATGTTCTTTCACTTCTGAATACTTTGTATTTCTATTTTTCAAACCTCCTTCAAACCCCAAGAGTTGGTCACAAGAATTTACTTTGAATTTCCACGTATCTTTTTCCTCTTCAGTTACGCACTTTTTGTTTGATTTAACTACAGGCAAAGAACATGACCTATATGACTCTGCCTTTTCCCTTCTCCCCATTTCCTTTGTAATCTCTAACACGATATATATTTTTTTACACGAAGCTCACACGGGCATTCTTTAATTTGGTACAAAGTTCTCAACAGCAATAAAAGCAACTCTGTTAACGCTGTTCAAATCCTCCATCTGTTTTTTGTTTGCTTTTTTGGTCTACCTGGTCTGTCCATCTCTAGGACTGTCCCCCTCTAGGACTCTCCACCTCCGGGACTGTCCACCTCCAGGACTGTCCCCCTCTAGGTCTGTCCACCTCTAGGACCACAGTTTGCCAGATTTTCGTCGTGTTCTATTTCTGCCTTGCATATTTTGAGGCTATGCTGTTTGGGGGTTTATCTGCTCAAGGAGAAGGGGGCCAGGCGAGGGAAGAGCAGGAATCTGGCCGGGGCAGGGAGGGGTGCTGACCGGGGCCTGGGGAGGCCCCAGAGCCACCGCAGGGCCACTCACTCACCACTGTGCGGTGAAGTCCACAAACTCGGGAGAGAAGGAGTCAGCTGGGAGCTGGGGAGATGGCTCCTCCACAACCTGTTTCAGCTGTTGGAACGGGGTCCCCCAGGATTCATAAGGAAACCGTAGAATGGCCATCTCGATCTGCGGTGGGGACAGTGGCACGGGGTCAGATGCGCCCACACTCTGCACCCGGAGACAGAGCATTGGGGGAAACCTGCCTGTCTTGGCTTGGCGCCCCAAGCCGGGCCACAACGCGGGTTGTGAGAGCCGGGGTGACATCAACAGCCGGTTCCTGTAACCCAGCCGGCAGAGACCACAGCTCACGAAGCAAATCTAGGCCCAGGTTGTAACTGGCTTGAGTGTCATCGGGCTCTTAAACAATCTAAATGCAGAAAGTTTTACGTAAAAACCCAACTTCCAGCTAGTCTGGAAAAATCAGAGCAGCCGGCGACCCTGGGACACCTGCCACAAGGCAGCCGTCGGCAAAGAACTGCCACTCCTCTCCCTAACGTCTCCACAAGGTCTAAGTATCTGCTGCCACTTATTTGGACAGTTGTGGTTATGACAGAGCAGGCAAATGGGAAATGGAATTATTCTCAGAAGCCGATCTCTCCCCAGGGCTGTAGACAGTGAGGCCGACACTTGGTCAGCTACTTCGTCTCTGCAACAGCCCCTCAGGCCCGTCGAGAACTGAAGTTTGCAGATGCCCCTCCTCCTTCTCCCTCCCCCACCCCCACCCAGCGGTGTCCTGCAGGACCCATTTCCAATGCCTCCTCCTCCAGGAAGATCTCCCAATCCCTGCTGACTCCCTGGACACATGGCCATGGTGGCCTTGTCCCTCCTCCTGAACCCGGGCCTGCCTGCAGGTGACATCAAGGCCACCTGGCCTCGGCACCCGTGCCAGGCACCTAGTTGGTGGGAAGTCATTTGTGGAAAAGACCAGCTATCTTACGATAAACTCTGGGTTCCGAGTTTGACTGCCAAGATTAAAAAAAAAAAAAAAAAAAAAAATCAGGTCAGCCCAGGCCCCCGCCTGGAATAGCACAGAGACTGCTCACTGACAGGCCATAATCACCATAATGAACACAAGAGACCTCGGCTCAAACAAATGCTTCGTGTTGGCAACTGGCGCCTGAACAGATCACTAATTATTGTGCTAAGAAAGGGCCTTCCCATTAGGCTCAAGGCCCCTTTCCAGCCAAGACATAAATAAAAACTCTCAGATGGAGGGTGTGCGCAATCCAGCGGGGATGGTGGCGATCCTGTGTGTATTTTCACGGGACAAATTCAGGGTGCTTTTTCCTAGAATGTGCACCGATTCCAACCAGCAGAAGTGAGGATCTGCTACAGACTTCCAGGGAAGGACCCTGTGGCCTACTAGAGCTCATAATTAGGAAAACAGAAAACGGTCCAGACTCTTGACCTCGTAATCCTTTTTCCCGGTAATTTTTTCTAAAGAGCGCAAAGTATGAAACCCAAAACAAAACAGCCTCTGGGCACAAAAATGCACGGTGTGGTGTGATCTGTAATAGTGAACATTAAGAAGCAGTCTAAACACCCAGTGCCGGGGACTGGCCTGCCGCAGGGTGGCCGAGTCTCGGCCGTGCCCGTCATTCAGGTGTTCACATGATCGGCACTTGATCAACACTCGTTATGGCCCAGAGCCTTCCCAATATCATGCCATATCTATATGTTCTGGCTGTGGTCAAGTGCCCGCAGAGGGCCTCTCGGGGTGGGCTCAGAGCACTGGAGAAGACCACCCAGAGTGACAGGCCCGGCGCACAGCGCTTCACTGGTCACTCCCCCAGGTCGGCCGGGGATTTCAAATGGAAAGAAAAAACCAGAAACGAACGAGTGAAACGCCTCACATTAGGGACTGAGTAGATGGTGGCAGTTGGCTGTGGAGTCTCTCGAAGAGATGCCTACAGGGATTTGTAACTACCCAGAGGAACACGAGTGATGAGATGCTAAGTGAAAAAAGTGAAATAAAAACCATAGAGGTTTTTTAGAAAAAGGCAAAACATCTAGAAGGAAACGCACAACGTTGGCAGCTGACAGCAGGAAGAAGGGGCTGTGTGTCTTTGAGAACAGTCACACTGATTTTTCTTCCCCCTTTTATTTTTCTTCTGTATTCTTAGATGTTGTTCTATTACTTTTGTAACTTATGGGGGGAGGGGACCTAACCTGTACCAAGGCAGCCAGTTCCCTAAGCTGCTATTACAGCTTCTCCTGTGAGCACCTGCCGGCCCCCCCATCTAGACCTGGAGTTTATTCCTCCTTGAACCTGGGCTGGCCTGTGACACTATGACCAACATAATGAGGCAGAGGAGACACTATGCCAGTCCTCTGACAAGCACGTAGGAGCTCTCCCCTCACAGAAGCCACCACAAAAGACTTCAACTACCCTCCCCACCACGTTATGAGGAACCCGGCGGGCAGTCAGCCAGGAGGAAGCTGCGTGAAGGCCCCACGTTTGCAGAGCCCTCTTGGACCTTCCACTCCAGCCCTGACCCCCAGCCAGAGCCAAGTGTAGTGGAAGAACTGCCTGGCTAACCCGGTCCGGAATACAGAAACAGCAGAAAAAATAAACTATTATTGGTTTATGTCACTAGGTTCAGGTCCACTTTGTTACGCAGCATTTGCTAACTGAAGTACGCACTAAGCACGCACTTGCCCAAGTTCCACCAGAGACACCAGAACGTCACCGGGATGCGGTGGGTCCCCAGTAATGACAGATGGACAGATGGATGAGAGGGAGGGATGGATGGGGGGGAGCAGGGGTGTGTGTGTGTCAAGCGGTCATGAATGGGGTCTCTAACATCCAGCCAGTTCTGTGCAGTCTGTACATCCTGCAGGAGTTTGCTCTTATTTTTTTTTAACTCAGGAGGTGAGAAGCTCTTATCTGCAGGCACAGCGTGCACCTTTAGGCTCTGACTACTCCTCTCTGCTCCGAGAAAAAACACACTTAAGTAAAAAACGATCGTGTTGGCACTATCAAGCAAAACCAAAGGCATCACCCGATTCTGTGTCTCTGACAAATGATTTTGATTTTGGACCTTTCCTGGTTATTGCACACAGACACAGCTTACCAGTCACAGCGAGGAGGGGGAACAGGATGATAAAACTGCATTATCGGTAAGATCCAAAACATCGACGGTGATCCTGAACTCCCGCCTCGCCCTTTTCTGATCTCCCCTCGATTCTGGCCCCCAGGCAGATACTAGGCACACCCCACCTCAGGGCCTTCACCCAGAAAGCCCTGTGGGTTCCTCCCACACCTCCTCAGAAGATTAATGCTGCTCCACTCGTACCTGAATCTCTCCTCTCCACGCCCCTTCCCACGAGGTATTTTACTGGTTTGATTACCAATTATACCCTGTCCCTAAGAGCTGGCGGCCAAAAGGGCTGGGACAGGGAGGGTGCTGACACCAAGCAAACATCAAGGGCTAATCCACACGCCAGACACAACCCATTAGTCCCAATGGTTGGGATCGGAATAGAGGCTGATGACCCCTCAGCCAACTGAGTCAGTCCCGTGTGCATACTGGGGCCACCATGACAGTAACCTTTTCCCAGGTATTCTTGCAGGGGGCGGGAGGGGTACTCGCATCGTGGTCTTTTTCCTGTCCCTTCAGCCCATTCTCCACATGGGTACCAGAAGGGGCTTTCTAAAGAAATATATAAATAAACCTTGACCTACACCGGAGCCAAGCCCTGACTCTGGCAGGAGCAGGCGTTGGCTGGGCAGTTCTAGAAAGAGCATGCAGCACACGAGCCCCGCCCTCCTCTTGGACCTCGTGCAGCCACCCCAGCTCCGCCGGGCACCTGCCCCACCCCACCCAAGCCCCCACAGCCCAGGACTGAGAGCCCACTGCCCCATCCTACCACACTCAAGGAAATGCACACGGACCTCACAAGCAACAAACTTGTTGCTATGACAAAAAAAATTTTTTTTCTTTTAATTTTTGCCATTTTGCTTTTTAAATTATTTGGGTACCAGAAGCCCACTTAATTTGGACTTGCCTGTGATTTCTCAACAAGCACAGTGAGCTCTGGAGGAAGTCTAACGGACAAATTATCACAAGCCATCAAGAACTTTCATGAAGGACATACCTCCCCACTAGGGAAGGACCTAATGCCATCTATAGGTATTCTCTTAAACATCCCATAACTTTTGATGGTACATTTTCTTCTCAGATTGTGAAGCCAACACTTTTTTCCAGGCCTAAACTATCTGATGGGCCCTCCAAAAGCTCATGGACTGGGCCTGGCCCCACCCTGGCCCCGCCCGACCAGCAAGGGCTGGACCCAGTTCCGAGCAGTACCATGGTGATGCCGAGGCTCCAGACGTCGGACTTGACGTTGTAGCCCTTCTGGTTCAGCTCCGGGTTGATTCTCTCGGGCTGTAAAAGGGACCAGTGAGACATGAACACACACACCCGGGTGAGGGGCCAGAGGAGGGGCCGCCCAAGGTTCCCTCGGCTGGGTCTTGCCTCTCCCACCCCAAACGGAGGGGTCAGTGTTCATCCTATCCCACTCGCCACCCCCCATGGGGCAGGCGAGAAAACTGAGGCCAGCGAGGGCCAGGGTCTTGTGGTGAACGCCCAAACCATGCCTCGCAGCTACCCCCGCCCAGGCCACTGGGACAGACTTGGGACCCACAAAGATACCACAAGCCACCACCATGTGGCTGTGTATGAAACTTATCACCCAAACGGGCACTTTGGAGCACAGCTAATACCCGGGGTAAAGAGGGGCTCTGGCCACCCCAATGGACAGAGGACATGGCCCGACGATGAGCTCCCAGGCAGGTCCCTCCTGAACCTTAGCTGTGGTTTGGGACCCGGAGCGGTGTGGGGACCACTCACAGCCATGTAGGGCTTGCAGCCAGCATCCAGCGTCTTGGCCACAGAGTCCACCAAATAGCCGCTAATCCCGAAGTCGCACATCTTCACATGACCCTCCTTGTTGATGAGGACATTGGATGGCTTCACATCTGCCAGGGACAGAACACACCTTTTTCTTCATGTGGGGTTGTGAGTCTCCGCTGGAGGCCAGCAGGCTCCTCCTACGCCCCAGTCACCCAAGGGGCACATGATACCAGGGAGTGGATGAGAGATAAGGCTCTGAGAGGCTCCGCTCCAGGCCAAGGTCACAAAGATGGAGGCAGCGAAGCCAGAACGTGCCCTAGTCACCGGCCACGAGTGGGGAAGGAAGTGAGTCTCTACCAGGACCTCGTCTCTGTGTCCACCATCAGCACTTTGGACACAAGGTCCGGGGGCGAACTTCACACCTGCTGGGCAGCCCCACAGCCGGACTCGGCCTATTTGCTGGTATAACCTCTAGCTCTGGGGTCCTCCCGGGCTGGGGATTTGGTGGGGCGGAGCATCACTGACAGAAGCCAGAAATCACCCGAGCGTCTATGCTGAGAGGTCGGGAGGTTCGGCCAGGAAGCACAGGGCAGCAGCAAAAACACAGGAGAGGCGCATGAAAACACGGAGCCCACGCCATGACTCGAGGCCCACACAGAGCATGCCACGGGGCACGCAGCAGGGAATCGTCCAGCAAAAGCACACACAAGACACATGTAAACCGGCATGCTTTCCTGTGTGCGTCAGGATAGAAATGCATAGGAAGAGAACCACAGGTTCCATACTGAACCACCACAGGGGTGACCTGGGGCCGGAGCTGGGATGGCGACTGAGTGGTCAAAGCAGGCCTGGTCTAATTTAACTTTGTAAAAAACAGTACGTCTGGGGGCGCCTGGGTGGCGCAGTCGGTTAAGCATCCGACTTCAGCCAGGTCACAATCTCGCGGTCCGGGAGTTCGAGCTCCGCGTCAGGCTCTGGGCTGATGGCTCAGAGCCTGGAGCCTGTTTCCGATTCTGTGTCTCCCTGTCTCTCTGCCCCTTCCCCGTTCATGCTCTGTCTCTCTCTGTCCCAAAAATAAATAAACGTTGAAAAAAAATAAAAAAAAAAAAAC